TTTTTAATTGATTACTTTAGTATGCTGTTTACATTTCCAGAAATACAATTTTACCACACATACTAACGGAACATAATGACAAATAGCATACAGCCAGTATAAACTATAGTGTAGACTGCAGAAAATGTAACTGAAATTGAAGACTTGGCATATAATATGCAGACTTTAAAAACGCATTAATAATTCATGAGGAAGCGCTATTTATAGAACTATAACATTGAACTACATTGTTTACCACATTGACAGTATATAGTGCTTAATCAGATGCTTACGCGTGTGCTTGGGTTGAAGGGCTTAATAGATAAAATAACAATAACTAAGTACGTCTTATGTAATAATTTAGTCTTACTGCATTTATATAAATGCAGTAAGATTTGCCCGTTGTCAGAGCCTGTGATCGATGACATTAGCTGCCATCGTTATTTAATATAAACATAAAGAACCATCGTCTCTTTGTATGCCTGTGCTCCGGAGCAAAATTTCCATTTTACAGTCACAACAATATCGCAATATAAGATGGGAGTTGTTTATACTTATACGACCCATTATAGGTAGTATACGGTATTGTCTATTGAGTTATTTTTAATAAAATGTGCAAGCTAATTTATATCAAAACGATCGTGACCACAGGAGCTTTTTTATATTCTGTATCACTCTTTTCTTTGTTAGATAATATAATAGGCCGTGGGCTGTTGACCAAAATTATTTCGGTTCGTGACCCCCATGTGAGAAATACTTGGTTTGGGGTTTATTTGAAATATATATAGGTACATCACTACCAAAAAAAGTTCCCAAGCAAAAAAGTTGCCCAATCTCGAGAAAATGGGTAATCAATGATTATATATCCTCTATTAAATTGAATTACAGCAAAAATATGAGAAATTCTGTATTCAATTACAATAAAAATGACTTGCATCATCGGAAAACGTACAAAAACCCGCATACAAGACTTTTAAACAGTTTTTTGATTTTTCGAATAGTCTTTGAGTTATATTGCTGTTTTAAATGTGAAAATTGGACCAAAATGTCGCAATGAGGACTGGGTACTAGGTCAAGAACGCGTTTTGACAGCGTATAACTCGAAAACAATTACAGATATAAAAAAAACTGTTTAAATGTCTTATATGTAGGTTTTTGTAAGCTTTCTGATAATGCAAGTCATTTTTGTGGTAATGGAATACAAAATTTTACATTTTCTTGCTGTAATACAATTTAATAGAGGATAATCACTGATCACCCATTTTCTCGGTATTGGGCAGGTTTTTTGCTTGGGAACTTTTTGTGGTAATTAAGCATCTATGGTTCTATGAATTGAACCACAGAAAATCTATTTCCCAGATGGGTGCCACGAAATTGCTTTTCTAGGCACTTTTTTGCACAACAGCCCACGGCCTATAAGCACAAAAACAAGGTTAAAATTGACTGCATCTTTGACTTTGATCGACCCGTTGTATACACGACATCGTACTGCGACTCCTCTGACACCGCCACATTAAAATTGGCGCAGTACAGAGCACGTGTGTTGTTTCATTTGATTTTTTTTGCACGGAGGGCGAGAAAGTACCTACACATATTAGCCATTCATATCTTAAAATTGATATTTATTTTATGTTTGTTTCTCTAAATGCTAGATAATGTAAATCAGAAAACATCTGTCGTTGTGAATAAAAATATAAAATCCTATTTGAAAATTTTTTAATATATATGCTGGCCGAACGTTGCAAAGCTACGGAAATAAATTGCAAGCGCTCCCCCTGGATTGAATTGTTTACACTATACATCGATCGATCGATCCATCCATTGTTGAGTCACGTAATGACGTATGCTTTGCACCCCATCACAATAGTACAAACTTGACTTCGTCAACTTTGCACTAAAAAGGGAGTATGTAATCTATTTAGAAGATGTTGTTCGTCTGTTGTTGAATCTTCCCTATTCTGTTATTCTGTTGTTAGAGTTTAAGGATGTTCTTCGTGTTATTCTTTATAGAGTATTTTATAGCATAATTATAACATTTAAAGAACAATCGTTTGATATAAATAGTGGAGGTTATGAACAGTTAACGAAAGTTCTAACAAACTTTCTTTTTTCAAGAGGGGGTAGTGTGACGTGAAGTCAGTCACGTCATGAACATTCTTCATTGAGACATTACGTCATTATGCTGATTCATGCTTTTGCTATATTTATCGTTTGCGTAGTATCTAAAAATGGTATATATGTAATGTTCCATAAATATCTTTCGGACAGTATATAAGCAGCGAAAGCTTAATTAAGTTAGAAAGATTTAGGAAAAAGAATCAGAGAAAATTAGTTTAGAAATAGTAATTTGTTGTTGATGTTTAAGACGAATATTGATATGGTTGGATTTATTGTTGTCGCAAAGTTCATAAGACTTAGAAGAAGATATTCCAAATACGAAAAAGTCTCCTTGGCCAGCGCATCTCGCTGTGTCTGGTCAAGGAGGCCAACGAGCGTGAAGATTATAAAGATGCAGACATACATTTTTGTACATCCTCACCCATCCTGTAACACCAGAATGTGATCTTATCAATCATTATAAATGTGACCATTGATTATGATAAAACAATAGCAGCAACAAAATCGCCGAAACTCGCAAACTGAATTCAAGAAAGATTAACGAAATATGTTCACACATCAGTTGCAATAATTAACATGCGTTGAAATCAGATTATATTGCAAGTTTGAACATATAGATCTTCGTACAATCGGTACCGCTCGTTGACGGAAACAAACAAAGAAACAAACAAACGAGCGAACGAACGAACAAACGGACGGACGGACGGACGAACGAACGAACGAACCACAGTGAAAGCACAACGTCCGGAAATATGTAACGATGAATACGTCTGCTATACCTTGGCAGTATGTACCAGTGCCTTCGAATCCATCATTACAGGAGCAGTTGTAAGATCCAACAGTATTTGTACAATTGGCATTTTCATGACAATCATTTTCACCAGCACACTCGTCAATCTCTGTGGTAAAAAACATAAAAACAATATTGGAAACAGAAACGTTTGGACTACTAAATTATTACCAGAGATTGGTGGCAAAGACACCTAACACTCGCCTGCGTGTAGTCACTTTAGTGGGTATAAAAAAGAAGTCCTAGCCCGAAAGATAAAATATACTGTTTCATCTCCACGATCCGCTGCTAATTATGACCGCAACTTGTCTTATCTATCCGCTGTTCTTCGTCTCCTATTTATCACTTAGATATTATAAATACGTGTATGGACGTAATAGAAATCTTTCGGAAATTGGGAACCCTTCGCATGAAATAAAACGTGGAATTAAACTTCAGACATGAAGTATGAATGGTAAAAGATTCATCATTACTCATATCGAAATTTTCAGGCCAAAACGAACAATATCACGAAAATAATTAGTAAATTTGATCTTTACTTGTTCTTGATATGTAATCAATTTTAAGAAGACAACTAAATAAATTCACCTTCACAAACAGACCCATCGCCACTGAAGCCCTCATAACAGGTACAGTTGTAACCTCCTCTTGTATTTGTACATGTTGCGTTGCCATCACATTCATGCATGCCACGATCGCACTCATCGATATCTAAAATATTTCATTGCACTTTGTAATGTTTGTAAGTTTCCCGCAACCAGATACAGCTAAATCAATTCAGAATGTTCTCTGAAAACCGAAAAACGTCGAAACACAAGCACGAAAAACACAAAAGACGTGTTTGTTATGATGACATTTATTTATTTATTTACAATTATTTACACACGGTAACATCTCAACCATAGCCCTAAAATATGTAAAAGTTATAATAAACCTATGAAAAAAAAAAGGTTGACATTGATTACCCATGCATGTCATCAGCACATTTATCCTAATCAAGTGATTTAATTCCTGAAGGAGTTAAACTGGTCCTACAAACAACGTGAAAAAGTTAAAAATTCCATTGAATTCTGTCGGCTTTCCATGTAATTGCGTTAGACGAGCAAATAAAATCCGGAAAAGGTTAAAAGGAGGAGAATTCGTATGTTATAAATCAGCGCTTTATCGCTTCCCTTAAATTTAATCCATCCTAATCTACTCTGTCAGTTCCTTGTCATGATGAGCTCTGTTTTCTGTGCGTAGGCTTTTGCGCAATAAACCAATCGTACACCAATTGGAATAATTATGGCAATGTGCGTTATAAGCACATGCCGGTTTATTAATTTATTGTAATGAATAACATAATTATTAATATAACAAATTATTAAGGAAACTAATGTTCGTCAAAGTAATTATTAAGAAAATTGTTCGCACAGAAAAGGTGGGGGTAATTCAAACGCCCACCACTAAGAACTAGTATACATATCAAAAGGAATTGCGCCAGAAAACGGGGAGGAGGGTGGGTAAACTTGATTTCCGATGGAGATGTTTTGCAGCCAACGTGCAGAGCAGAATGAACCGATCCCGCATTCTAGTTCAACTAAATACCGCGAACTCCTATCCGTTTTCCCGCGCATTACAATCATGTGATTACAAAATTCCCGGGAAAATCCCAGTAGGTTTCTATCTATTTATATAGTTCAAGTGCAGGAAGCAATAAAATCTTTATTGGTATGCCAATAATTCCTTTATCGCTTCCCTTAAATTTAATCCATCCTAATCTACTCTGTCAGTTCCTTGTCATGATGAGCTCTGTTTTCTGTGCATAGGCTTTTGCGAAATAAACCAATCGTACACCAATTGGAATAATTATGGCAATGTGCGTTATAAGCACATGCCGGTTTATTAATTTTTTGTAATGAATAACATAATTATTAATATAACAAATTATTAAGGAAACTAATGTTCGTAAAAGTAATTATTAAGAAAATTGTTCACACAGAAAAGGTGGGGGTAATTCAAACGCCAAAAGTCTGCTTTGAAAAAGGAGACATACCCCACCCCATCATGACAAGGACACGCAGAAGAAATGAGGACCTACCTCTAATACATTACATAACAAGACAAGAGAAAAATTAAAAATTGAGAACAACCTATATGAAACGATATAGTACTACGCAAGCTGCCCCACCAAGTCGTGCCCCTGCGTTGACTTGATAGCGAGCTGCTGATCTAATAAGACGATTATATGTAGTGTTCTGCGAGCCTTGCCCCTGCATCAGCGTCACAGTCAGCTACAAATCAGTATTTAGGTAGTAACAACATACAGTACGAATGTATAGGTGTCAAGTCTTGCCCCTGCATCGACTCAACAAAAGAGAAATATATATGTATAAGGTTAGTGTAACATGGAAATGTCTCAAAATGCTATTCTACAGCCATGATCAACCCCTGGACCTACATAGTTTAGATGTTTGAACTCAGACTAGGACAACGAATATATTTTCGATATGCGTCTGATTGCCAACGACCCATTAGTCGTATTTGTGCATTGGAATAACCATTTTCGGCCGCAAAAGTAGCTGCACCGATGCGGAAACTATGTCCTTTATACCTAGTGGAATCGAGACCACACGAACGAAATGTAAGAGCTAAATGGTCGGTAAACAGCTTGCATGAAACAGCATGCCCATCGCGCCAGGCGAAATAGTCTAGTAAGCTCTGCACTGGGCATATGTCCGTGCGGCGATTCAGTTTGAGTGAGACATTCGACCGATTATACGAATGCTTGAAATTAGGAAACGTTAATATCAACCCAGTTATGCTGCCCGAATTGTCAACAAGCTTAACAACTTGATCAATTTGAAACACGGTTGTTGACCAGGGGCAACATGTAATTTCACGAATCCGTAAAAAGGCAAAAAATGCTGTTGTACACATTGCCTTCAATAAATATGCTCGATACTCACTAGAGCACAAGGTTGGTGTTTGTTGTAACATATTACGAAGGATAGGAAGTGTTACAGGTAAGCGTGTGTCATGGCGTGAACCAAGCTTTCCATATCCTTTCAACATTTGAAGTACCCAAAAGACTTTAGTGGGGTCGTTCACCACAGCCAGACGATGACAATAACCCAGTGTAGAGACATAAGTGTTCGCAGTGGAGGCCGCATATTTGTGCTGAAACATGTACGCTATAAATAGTCCTAAATCTGATGGTGAGATAGGCATCCGGACTAAAGCCGATTGAAATACCACACAAGCAAATTGGCTATAAAGTTTCCAGGCCCTACGATAAGTAGGGATGATGATAGCTGCAAACTAGATTAACTTAGAAGTTATATTGGCCAACTCTGTGGCAGTAGATGATCTGGTATGACTGTTGGTGATGAGTGTGCACCCACCGGGGCTAGCTGCTTGAACTTCGTAACCTGTAACCGGGATAAAGGATCAGCTAAGACATTTTTGACACCAGGAACATGACGAGCTCGAAATAAAATATTAAAATTCAAGCATGCCAGTACCAGCTGCCACACAAATATCATCACAGTCGAATCAAGAGATGTAGCTTTATTGATAATATCAACCAATGCCGCATTATCCGTAAAAAAGGTAATGCGCTGATTACTCATTCTGTCTCCCCATAGGAGGACACTTAGTACAATTGGGTAAAATTCTAAAATAGTAATGTTGAGTTGTTTCCAATTTTTAGGCCATGCACCGAAACACCACTCATTACCAAAAACCGCACCGTAGCCTAGGCTGGCAGCGGCATCGGTATATAAATTTAAAGTAAGTGAATCCTGCCAGACATCGTTAAGAAAAAACGAAAGACCATTAAAGCCAAGCATAAATGTCTGCCAAAGGCTTAGGTCTGCTTTGACCGATTTTGTAAGGCGAATATAATAATGGGCAGCAGTTATGACCTTAGTTAAATCAATAAGACGACGCAAGAAAGCCCGACCCGGTACAACTACTGAGCATGCGAAATTAAGCAAGCCAGTCAAAGATTGGATTTCACGCAAAGTGACTTTTTTGCGTCGAAGAAATGACGATATTAATAATCTACATTTTTCAGTTTTGTCAACAGGTAGACAAGCTTCCATACGCAAAGTGTCTAATTCAATTCCGGCAAACGAAAGAATGTTTTGTGGCCCCACAGTTTTTTCCGGAGCCATCGGTACACCCAAATATTTACATAAAGATAGGAAACGAACTAGGTTAATGCGACATTGGTGATAGGTAGAGGCCGCCATTAGATAATCATCGAGAATGTGGATAAGATGTGGGATCATTAAATGTTTCTTAGCTACCCACTCTAGAGCTGTGCTGAACATTTCAAAAGTGCGACAGGATGACGCACAACCCATTGGCATTGCGCAATCGTAATAAAATTTTCCTTGCCAAAAAAAACCCAGAAGGTCGTAATCAGAAGGCCTTATTGGGATAATGCGAAATGTGCTTTTAATATCTGTTTTTGCCAGGAAACTTCTGCGCCCTAATCGCTTGATCATTGTGACTGCGTCATCTACGCGAGCGTAAGATACCGAGGTATGCTCAGTAGCAATACCATCATTAACCGAATCACCACTAGGAAAAGACAAATGATGAATCAAGCGATACTCCCCCGGAGCTTTCTTAGGAATAACTCCCAAGGGAGAAACACGAAAGTTAACAAAAGGAGGGTGGTCGAAAGGCCCAGCAAGCCGGTTGGCCTGGCACTCTTTGAAAAGTTTAGCACTAACAATTTCAGGATTTTGTTGTGCAGAAACTAAATTATTGGCGAAAAATGAGGATTGGAGCTCCTTTGAAATGGAGTGGAAAACCATACTTAAAACCATAATATAACATAGACGTTAATCCCACATCGTATCCACATAATAAAGGTCTAAGTTTTTCAATGTGAACTGGCGTTGGCAGCGCGGGATTTGGCAGCGCGGGATTTGGCGGCGGACGAGGTGGAGTTAAAGGCAGCCCTTGAGGGACGAAAATTACACCAGACAGCTGGGTGAACTACGCCACATTTAAAACATTTGTGCTGAAAATTGCAACCTTGGCATTCAGTACCCCGGTGAAACTTCCGACAAAACCCCCTGGGAACAAAGGGTCCAGCAACAGCATTCGTAAAATTATTGCGTGTAGTTTGGCTCTTAGATTGAAAACGCGAATTACTAAAATTCTGCGCACAGATCCAAAGTTCCCAATGAGTTGAACCCCAAGGCATTTCAGACGGACTGGTTTGTCATAAATTGCGTGTCGTAAAATCGCCAGTCACCCCCACGCGAACAACTTCCCCATACTTCATTAATGCAGGGGCCTCCATGGGATATTTCCCAGTATAGACCCCCACAAAAATTTGAAACGCTGATGTCCACGTCTCAATATTGGCAATGTGTTTTGCTTTTTGGGTTGGTTCCAAGGACAACGTTGGTAAAGAGGAACCGTTTTGAGAACTCACCGACAGTTGATATCGGGTATCTCCTGCCCCTGAGTTTAGTAACAAGCCAAAATCGAAAAATTCATTGGCCCAAATCTTGGCCTTTAACTTGGCACTAACTTGTGCATCAATAGCAATGCTAACTGAACATATGTGACGAAGTAGGTTGTGAGACATGGATGAAATTCTCACTTGAAACATGCTGTAAAGCAGATGCTACATGCCCCTGTGTAGTAGCATCTGCTGAAGGTGAAACAATACCTGACGCCACCACTGGCAATTCCTGAGTCTCCGAGGCCGACGTTGACTGCGAAGTCGCACCTGTCGCATTTAAAGACGCGAGAACAGCCTGTGATACCGCCGAGACAATCTGTTGAATGGTAGCTTCGGACAGAGATGCTCCTGTAGTTGGCGTTGAACTTGTTGTAACTATGGCGGCGGAAGGGTGATCGACGTTGCCTTCATCTGCCGTTGTTGGTAGAGATGTGGCCGTTGTTGGTAGAGATGTGGCCGTTGTTGTTGATGCACGGCATCGAGATGATGCAGGACGTGGTGCAATAGGCTGAGCGCGTCATTGAACTCGAGTACTTGGCCGTGTTGCAGGCATATTTCTGAAAGAAAAGACTAAAAGAATGAAAACATGCAAAATTAAATTATCGTAAAACTGTGCGTGATGCAAACATTGGAAACGTTAGAAGTATTGACATATATGTAAACGTTACAACGAAATGAAGTGGGCAGACAACACACAACACAGCGGAATAATCGTGGCATACATCTGAGGTAGCCGCACATTGAATATTCAATTTATACAATGCTGCAACATATATAAATATTCGGGCAATCTGAAAACAACAAGCTGCACCGTCCCACAATATATTGATTTCAACTGTGGGCATCTGAAAACGATAATCGCTCTATCCCACGTAGACATGCATTTTTCCTAACACAGGAACAGTAGCAAATTATATATACGGCCACAGTGACACAATAAGGTTAGACAAGAACAACCGTGACAGACATATACAAAACAGAAGAGACTGAATGAGAACAAACATATATATAAATGCCAGAAATTCATGAAAACCCTGTGAAGAAAAAACCTAATGTTGAAATCTCAACGTGGGCATCTGAAAACAGCAAGTTGCTCTAGCCCATATAAATGAACATAAAACTGTAACAATGGGAAGTACATTGGTAATATGATATTGAATGACGGGGTATAATACACAAATGAATAGCTGTAGCACAAGGCTAACAAAATAAAACTTCCCATGCACAGATAAAATTGTCAGAAGTAGAATTAAGTGCCACTAACAAAAATATGGTATTAAAAACAATTAACAAATTGTAGATACGAAATAAATTACCACAGTATGGTATCCGTATATAAGATATATTATGTATAATTTCAAGGTTACTAAAGATTAAAGCCAATAAACTTATAATTTCCCTAACACCCGCAAAATAGCTCCCCGATAGCTGCGGTAAAGAGAATACTGCCCGTTGGAATTACAATGCACGCCGTCTTTGGCTAGCAAAACACGATTTGAGTATAAAAATTCTCGATGCTCCCAAAGAAAAATACCCGGGCTCCTCAGCAAGCACAACAGACAAATATTGCCGCAAACGAGCGGCTTTGGCGTTAAAACCCTGGTCTGGTGCTGGGGAACGGGAATATGGGACATTTCGATTGATGACATGGCAAACGCCGACCACGCGAACATTGTATTTGTCGCGGAAAAGGCGTGCAAGATCATCAACTTTCGAGCCTACAACCTCTGGGGCGCAACTCGATAGGTCGTTCGTACCAACTTCCAGAATTACTATGTCAGGCTTAAAGTGTTGGACGAACGGAAAGTCATGCTGCATCATTTTGTCCACTGTTCGGCCACCTGTGCCCTGTAAGTGAACATATCCCGACTCAGGAAGATGAAAATTAGGACTCCCACGTTGATCAAATCGCGCGTCTAAGTCCTCACGTAAATGACGAACAAAAGACTGGCCGAGAACAAGGATTTTTGCAACAGACCCCGACATTATGAACAATATACTCTAGTACTATAAGAATAATGATATTAAAAATTGAACAAATTAAACAATACCTGATTTGAGATAAACTTGATTTCCGATGGAGATGTTTTGCAGCCAATGTGCAGAGCAGAATGAACCGATCCCGCATTCTAGTTCAACTAAATACCGCGAACTCCTATCCGTTTTCCCGCGCATTACAATCATGTGATTACAAAATTCCCGGGAAAATCCCAGTAGGTTTCTATCTATTTATATAGTTCAAGTGCAGGAAGCAATAAAATCTTTATTGGTATGCCAATAATTCCTTTAGTTAAAATTTCACTTTGTATGACAGAATTTTGTAAACTGGAGATGGATATTTTTCCATACAAACGCGATTAGGCGACAATACATCACCACTTAACAGCTCTAAAATAAATAAATACACGCAACAAATCATAATATTTGTGTTTAAAGAAGGCGTTTTATAACTTTTCCTTTTATTATTTATTAAATAAAAAGTATATTAGACCAATCCCGTCACCATTATCGGAAAAAATAGTTTGTATTTGAAATATATTTGTAGTTTTCGCTTTTGTTTATATAATATGCATTTTGCTGACAATTAAAAGTTGTCAATTTTTTTGTTGATTTCAATGTTTCTTTTAATATCCGGTTTCTATAACTGATTCAATGTAAATAACACAGCGCTTTCATTTTTTTGGCATGCTTTTTCTTTATTCTCTTTAACCTTGTCTGGCAAATGTTTTTTTGAGTAAGGTTCCAAAACAATGTAGAGACTGTCGAGACTTGCCCCCCTTTAGAAAATCACCTTTCCTTTAGGATTTTCATCCTTCGTTAAAAATTTTGCCCTGCCTAACAGTTGCATGGGATAATTATTACAAAGGTTTAGTAATTTGAAATCAGCATCAATTCAAAATTGTTAAGACAGATCGAGCTTGAAATAACAACCGATCACCGATCAATGATTGGCAAGAAATTGCTTATTATCAGCGGGAAAGCAGGGTTTCGATTTCCAACCTGAAATCGCCATCATCGGGAACTTTGAGAACATTATTTCAATTTGCAGAGTTACATTCTCAAATGTTCAAGGCACTAATAAAATCAAAGTATCATGAAATTATTTGAATAATAGCATAGTTGCCCAGGTTTCTTTTGTTTCAACAGGGACGTTTAATCACATATTGCCCGCTGTAGCAGGCGATTAGTTCTAATCGCCTGTTGGCAAGGGTCACACCCTTTGTCTCCCTCACGACTACGCATTTGGCAAGTGCCTCACACACATAATCGTGCAAGGAACAGCAACAGTTAGCTCAGAGCTGTCAATGGTCTATCATCCGATCCCCGAGTTGTTGCATCATTTAAATTACGGACGTGCAGTCTCCAATTTTATACTAATATATTTAGCGTTTTCGTTGTGGTACGCTAAATGATAGATTGCGCATGCGTAACCGATTAAAGCGTAAAAAGTGCGCATGTGCAACAAGCTTTTACATCCCACAAGCAAATAGGGTTGGGCGATATTAAAAAAATCAACTCATGATTATTGTCGAGGCGTTTATCGCAATATTATCGAATATCGTGATAATTTCAATGACCACATTTTTCAATTTTAATTAAATGCCATGGCCACACAGTGCAAGCAAAGCCTGCATGCAATTTCATTGTTCAGCAGCTTACTAACTTACCAAGACTTGCTAACTTACCAAGGCTTACTAACTTACCTGCAAGTCTTACTAACTTACCTGCAAGTCTTACTAACTTACCAATGATTACTAACTTACCAATGATTACTAGATTACCAAGTATTACTAGTTTACCAAGGATTACTAGATTACCAGTGATAAGTAGGGATTATTAGGATGTATAAAAGTTAGAATGGTATGTATTGGTGACCGTAACACCAGGAATTAACCAATATATCATATTAAATTCGTATTTGATTCAGGGAATAGTTTTAATTCTTTTAAAAAATACATTTTCTAGAAGTTGAAGGAATTTTTTTAGGATTTTTATAAAAGCTATGTACACATGCGAAGCAATATCATTATATTCCACAAGCATGACAATAATTTAGATATATCGTCGCTCAAGTTTCTACCTTGATACGATAATTATGATTGCCTCCGGTTATGGGGCCATTTAATCACTAATCTCCCTCAAGCCATGCTATTACTTATAACTAGGTTACCCACAGGGCAGTAATGCTGCCTTTGACAGCAAAAGACAAACTACAGGGTGTTGAACGAGTCCTTCAGAAACATCCTATTATTGTTATCCTAGCCTGCGTAGCGGCTCTCAGAGAAAGTAGAGCCTGCACGAAAACCCATGCTTTCCCGTTTCCGCCCACTTAGCCTGCAGGCTACGCCCACTTTAAACAGATGTCAAAATTGGCCAATCACACAGATTGTTTACGTTTGCAAATTTACTTATCAAAATGAAATATAAATATAAATATAGATTGCTGCATGTATGTTCGCAAATTTCAAAACGAAATACTGTAATATACGGATGGCGGCTAAAGAAAATTGAAGTCTGTGGGAATAGCGCTAGGCCAAGGGCAATCTCCATCGTTGTCACAAGTAGTTTGCAGTCCGTATCTACGATATTTCGTAGCTTTCTCGCACACGTACAAATATAATTTATAGTTTCGACAGCGGTCAACCGTGATGTATTAAATGTTAAGTTTCTAGCGATGCTGAGAAGAGAATATTAAAGGTGTTTAAAGCCATCACATAAGCATTTATAGCAATTCTCTCCTGGCACAAAATTATTGGCTACAAAATCATGAAGAAAAAATCTATTTGTCGTCGATGAATTTTATTAATATGAAAACGAACACGCTCGTGAGTTGTGAAAGAGGCGCTGCTAACAGACAGCAATCCAACGAAAACACCACAGTCAATATCTCTAGAGCTTCGTGAACCAAGTTCGTAAATACCTTTAATGTTCAACCGTAAATTGTGGCCTTTAATATTAAGCTCTTTTGAATGCAAAACTCAAAGAAACGCCTCTCAATAATACATCCGCTAATCCGCCAAGTTTGTATGAATTTAGCATAAATTAGCATATTTTTTCATTTTGAACCAATCAGATTTCTCGTCCTCTGAGAGAACGAGTAAATACGGCAAAGCAGGGGGTTTCGTGCAGGCTGTCCTTTCTCTGATAGCCGCTACGCAGGCTATTGTTATCCTTGTTAACCCATTTATTGACAGCACGGCCCTACCACTGACTACCACGGCCCTACCACTTGACAGCACGGCCCTACCACTTGACGTAAGCCACTAACTACCCTGCGTGGCTGCGCGCAGACTATATAATGACATATGTATGCTATCCGTCCGTCGCCATCCGTCCGTCCGTCCGTCATTCATCTGTCCGTCCATATCCGCGTTTTATCCTAACTCGTTTTTAAAACACAAAAGTGCGGT